ATACCCAATGTGGTTGGGTCCATGTACACCACCCACATCCCCATAATCGCTCCCAAAATCAGCGTAGCCGCTTATTTCAACCGGAGGCACACTGAGCGCAACCAGAAAACATCCTATTCGATCACAGTCCAGGGAGTGGTGGACCACAGGGGGGTATTCACGGATGTGTGCATAGGCTATCCGGGCTCAATGCCGGACGACCAGGTCTTGGAAAAGTCGACACTTTTTCAGCGGGCCAATGCGGGTTTTTACCAGGGTGTATGGATAGTGGGTGGGACAGGCTACCCGTTGATGGACTGGGTTTTGGTTCCCTACACGCAGCAGCACCTAACGTGGACACAGCACGCGTTCAACGAGAAAATCGGGGAAATTCAGAGGATTGCAAAGGAGTCTTTCGCGAGGCTCAAAGGGAGGTGGGGCTGCCTGCAGAAGAGAACGGAGGTTAAGCTTCAGGACCTTCCGGTCGTGCTTGGGGCGTGTTGCGTGTTGCATAATATATGTGAGTTGAGGAACGAGGGCCTAAACTCGGGCCTGGAGTTTGAGCTCGTTGACGACGAAATGGTGCCTGAGGTCGGGCTGAGGTCAGCAACTGCTATGAAGGCCCGGGATGCTATAGCGCATAATTTGCTGCATCATAATCATGCAGGGACCACCTTTCTTTCGTAGAGAAAAAGGGGGGAAAGGATGAAGAAAGATTGGATTTTGGAGGTTTTAAGTTCATGGGTTTATTGCATTTGTTGTTGTAGCTAAAATGTAATGGATGGTTTACTTGTTTCCTTTTTTTAGCATGGAGGCATGATACAGAACAAAGAAAGACAGATACCCATATAGCTGAGTAAGTTTCACCTTTTTGATATGTTTATTATTACATATATTGGTTTTTGAGGCTGAATTGTTTTATTGCTTCTTTCTACAAATGAAAGTTTGATTCTTGTAGATATAACTGTTGGCAGCAAATTGCAGTTATGGTGCTCTAAACTCCCTTAAGCTTTTTTGTTGTTTTTCTTCGGTTTTGGTAGTTCAAAGAGGTTATAAGAAAATGAGGTTTGATTTTATATTGAAAATGGATCCATTAACATTGGTGGTTTGTGGTTTTGTTAAAGGAAGGTTACTAGCTTTTGGACTTTGAGGCATATAGTGAGTTGGTTTTCTGTTTTAAGTGCATTCATTACATTTGTTTTATGATTGCTTCATTTTTTTTGCTAGATTATTCTTGTAAAAATTTGCAATTTGAAGCCTTTGTGTGATCTTATTTTCATTCCAATGCTTGGGTTTTGCTTATATTTGATTCAAGCATATAAAGTATTTTTTTACTAAATCAGCCAAGGCTATGTTTGGTAGACAAATGCTTATAAGCTACATGTATTGAAATAAGTCTTGTTTGGTACGACCAGCTTTTTTAAAAAGCTCGAGCTTATTTGATAAGCTTCTTTAGGTAGTTTTTCAAATAAGCTAGTTGAATTTTTTATTTCAATTAGCTTATCAGCTAATATTACTACACTTTTATCATAAAGTCAGCTTTTCAGCTATAAGTCATAAGCTATAAGCTCGAAAATTACTCATAAGCTATCAGCTAGCTTATCAGCTATCAGCTAACTTATCAGCTTGTTTTACCAAACATAGCCTAAGTCAGCCAATGACTCGAATCACATTCCCTTGGCTCTCACTTGAGCTCTATTCTCAACTTCTTGTGATGAGAAGGACAGGTTCAGTTTTCTTCCTTTGAACCGGTAAATATCATATAGTATTATTATTGCAGTTTGAATTTATTGTCTCGGGACTCTTGAGGAATATTAATTTATTGAGTTGGTGACAATTGGATGAAATTTGTTATCATGTGTTGTCTGAATTTGTTATTTCTGTTTTGCTAATTTGGACATTGATGTGATTTCTGGGCCTACATCAAAATTAAAATCATTTGGTTGTCCTTTTGTTTCATGTGTGTGAATATTGTTGACATAGAAAGTAAGACACAGTCGGTGACTTTTTTTAATCCCATTGATTTGAGTGCCCAAATGGAGTAGGGATTTTATTTGATTGGGTTATGATTGTGTAATTGACAATGAATTTAGGTTTTTTTTTTTTTCGACTGTGATATTCCTATATTCATTCGAGATTTCACCACGCACTCCCAACTCACTCCGAGCTCACCGTGTTGTTGCTGCCGCCTAACCAGTTTATGGTCCTTAACTGGCTACGGGCTCCACACTCAGAGAGGTGAAACTAATCCACTCAGGAGAGTAGGAGTGCCCTATCCCATACTTTCACGATAGTCACACTCAGAGAGGTGAAACTAATCCACCCAGGAGAGTAGGAGTGCCTTATCCCATTCTTTCACGATAGTCAAGATCGAATCCCTGATCTCTACCTTCAGCAAGACTTTATCTCTCCACCACCAACCAAGACCTCACGTCCTGGGGGGGCAAAAAATAATGGTTAATATGGTGCAGACACAAACAACAGTTGTGAATTTATTTTTATCCTTTGTAGGAAGAAGAGAAAAATATGAACTCTGAAAAAAAAAAAAAAAATGGTTACCCCTTTCATTAACACCATTCAAATGTCTCCAGAGATAGTTGAATTGTGTTGAAAGAAGAGAAAAGCATCTTCTTTTTACTCTCATTTTTCCAAATACTTCTCATTTCATGGATTTGTGTCCTTTAGCTTCTTTTATTCTTTTTATTTGTCTTGATTTGGTCACGGACACATGAATAATTGGGCATATTATACGTTCAGTAAAATTTCAAATGTTGAATGATTATTTAATATTAGAACTCAAGAGATAGTGAAAATTGGGCATAATTTTTTTTTTTTTTTTCTACTCGACACTAAAGTCAATTCAAAATCAAGTTTAGTTATATATGCATTTTACTATAATAACCAATTTCTATTATTTTAGATGAATTTTGATATATAAAGTATAATTTAATTATATATTATTTTACAAATATATAATTTAATTATATATTATTTTACATTTACTTTTTTCTTATTTCATTCTTGGCTATATTATTCAAATCCACAAAAACATAGAGAGTTTATTTTATATATAAAAAAAAATTACTTTTAGAGTATAACAATTGAAAGAAAAGGTTAAAGAAAAACAAGAAAACAGATTGAAAAACATTACCAAAAGTTTGTCATTTAAATCATTAGAAAACCAAAAAGGAAAAAGAAAAATTGTATCGATACTAACAGTACAACGCCACACATGACGTTACACTATACAAAACACCAAAACATTACATAAAAACATTACACAAAAATTCATATTTTTTACAACTTACGAGTTGTAAAAAATATGAATTTTTGGGTGAGATCATCCGACTGTTAGGCTACGTATCATTCCGTCATACCTTCACTACAAAAAGTATACTTCTCATATGAAATGTCACTTTTGTTTATGTTACTTTTTAGAGTACGACATTTCAACTTGCAAATATTTATAATTATTGAAAAAATATACTTAGTAACTATCACTACAAAAAAACACTACAATTCCAACGAAAAATTTCAACGGCAAAATTTTCCGTTGGAAATTCCAATGAATATTCCAACAAACTTAATTTTATGTTGGAATAAGTGTTTGATAGTTGAGGAATTCCAACGGATTTTTTCCGTTGGAATAGCTGTAGGAATTTATTTCCATAGGATTTTCCGTTGGATATTTGCTATTCCAACGGCTATTTTTCCAACGGATTTTTATACGTAGGAATATCCGTTGGAATAGCTATTCCAACGGAAATATAAAAAATTCCAACGGAAAATTTTCATTGGAATGTAATAGTTTTTTTGTAGTGTATTAAATCTATCTAACAACAACTTAACAAGTATCAAAATCAGGATCAAATCATTTTATAACACTTTCATGTTTTATATTATGTAACATTAATTGGGTGAATAAGCTTTATATATGTTATTCATCCAATGAAATATAGTACAAAATGTAATAATATATATTCCAAAAATTGAATGGACAAGATATTTAAATAGCATTTATTGAGTTGTATTTCTATTTCTACACAGTTTTGCTATGAACCCAACAGTTGGCTCTATAGTGGAGCCAACTTTCTATATAAAACAAGTAAACCATATCATATTTTTTTATTACTTAAATAAATACTAATAATTTTATTAATATGATATGATTTACTTATTGTATATAAAATGTTGACTCCACTATATAGTCAACTGCTCGCTTCGTAACAAAACTGATTTCCACAACCAATCTCAAATTTCTAAAACGCATGGGACCATTTTGGTATTGCATTTATGGTTAATGTTGACCTTCACATGGTAGATGTGGGCACCAAAGTCCAACTACAAATTGTGAATTGCTTTCATTTTCCGATTATGGTGGAGGAAAATTGGCATTTAAAGCATGCCTTTCTCATGTCAAAGTCAAACTTTGTTAGGTCCTATAGGTGCATCTGGACGAGAGCGATTGCATATAAATCAAAATTGATTTTGATTGAATTTTGAGTTAAAATGAATTAATTTTAAATAAATTGATTGAATATAAAATTGAGTAGGATTTTAAATTTGTATTTAAATAATATTTATGATTTAATAATTAGAGTTGATGTCATGTAAAAGTGGAAAAAAAATTATTATAAATCATAAGTAGTTAAAAATTGCGTGAGTGAATAAATGGTGAATTAAAGTGTTTAATTATATTAATAATATATGTTTTATACTCCCTCCTTTTTTAAATAAATGTCGTTTTGACTTTTGATTCATCCATTTTTCTATGTATCTAGACATATTAATGTCTAGATACATAGAAAAATGGATGAATCAAAAAAGTCAAAACGACATTTATTTAAAAAAGGAGGTAGTATTAGAGTTGATTTTTTAGTTAAAAAGTGTAAAAACATTATCTGATCAGTCAAAACCGGTTTTAATATGTAACCGGTTAATGGTTACCATTATTTTGGTTCCTGAAAGGACGATAATGAGATAATAACATAACCATATATAATAAAAAAAAAAATAGGCAAAAATTTATTGTTAGTTCACTATGTTTGTCATTTTACGAAAAAAATATGTCTTCAAAAAATGTCCATGATGTTGCCAATTTAAACAAGTTTCATACAATTTTTAGGACAGATTGATAAATTGCTGAGATTAATTTCTGACTTTTAAGGTAAAATTCAATCTGTGTGTGTACCAGTGTTGTAGAAGTCGCTAGGCGCCCGCTAGGCGCCGGGGCCTAGTCGATATTTAGGCGGGACCTAGAAATCAAAATTAAATACCTTATTTTTTTATTTATTTTCACTATCTACAAAACAAAACTAATCTCAACTTATAATAAATCAACACACCTAAGCCCAAATACTAATATTAGTATATTATAAAGAAAACATGATAACAAAATAATGTAATTAGTATTTAAAAAATAAAAAAAAAATGTAAAACTTCCGCTGAGCTCGTCTAGGAGCGCCTAG